GTGCTGTGAGCAGTGTAGAGACAACTACATGCAGGCTTTGCCAGAGCATTCTGAATGTTGCTGCTCATGGTGGGGAGCTCAGAGAACTGCCCCTTCACAAGCCAGCACTGTTGCCTGATGCTTTTGTGCGAAGAAGGAGCTTTCATGGCTATACAGAGAAATGGGACACAGAAACCTGTATTCGGGCGTTGGATTTTGCCCAGAGCCTTTCCAGATCTTTCCACTTGAAATTTGTTGTGCACGGGCAGCTGAGAAGACCAGTGAAAGCTTGGCAAGGTTATTGTGAAGCTCCTTGCAGGAGCCTCCCCCACACTGAGCAAGTGTTTCAAATTTTCCCCAAACTGCTCGGCTGTTGAGATCGCATCTTGCAAATGCAGTTTCAGACAACAACAGCTTGCAATTATGCAGTGCTTTCAAAACCAAGACATCCTGAATTTTGTTAACGTCTTTGTATAAATCTAGCTGAGGCTGCTGCAAAGCTCCAGCCTTCCCGAAAGCTCACAGCTGGGATCATCCACAGCTTCCCTCTATGCCCTGCTGGAGGCAGTTCATCTCAGGTGAAGGAGGTACAGAATATGTGGAGCCATGGACAATCTCACATGCTCTCAAACCTAGGTGGTAGTGAGGATTATCCATTCAACAGCCAAAGGACGCCCCAGGAAATGAAGGCTCTCTGCTCTTAGATGGATGGAGCACTGACCCCATGAAATCCAGTTGTGGGGGAATGCGAAGCATGGCACCAGGATGCAATACTCCCCAGTGAGGGACTGAGGAGCTGTGCTGTTGGGAAGGCGTTATCACGGTCACCAAGAGGAACATGAGCCAAGGGAGCACTCTTCTAAGAGTGCAAACCACATCCACATCAGGCTACAGTAGGAGGATTGTGGCAAGCAGATCATGGGAAGACATTATCCCCTCTCTTCGGCGCCGGTGAGGATGCACACAGATCATGGGAGGGTTTCTCAAATAGCTCCTAACAGCAGCACTTGCACAGCTTCCTCTGTTCTTAAGGAGATGTGAAAATACAGACAATGGTATAGAGACTGCTGCAGGAGCAATGAAAGGGAATTGTAGCATCGTGCCAAGGCACTTGTAGCACTTGTTTGGGAGATAGGTATATGGTCTTGAGAGTACCATATGGTTCCAATGAGACATCTGGGGAGGCAAGGAGCTTTACACTTAGATATCAGTTTCTCTTTTGGATGAATAATTAATGAAAGTCTGGGCTGAAAAGAGCTTGCTTTCCTCTGTGGTCACAGACACACCAAAATATAAGAATATCAAAATGCTTCCAGTTGCTCTTTGCTGCTGCGCAGCTGCTTCTTAGATGAAAGGGTCCTTTTTTGCTTCCCAGCTATGGATGATTCAGGGTTTCAGATCAGACCTTTGCTGGGTGTGGGGAGTTTGATAAAATAATTAAAATGTAGTGAGAAAGATTACAGCTGATAAATATAAATAATAATATGAGGTTTATCATTACTGAATTGCTTGCTGGGCAGTGTGAAAATGTACAGTAAACAGAGCAATATTTCTGTAAGATGTCACTTGAAGAGCTAGCCCTTATTTTTAATGAGAAGACTTCAATTTTCATGCATTTTTCAGGGCAGGAAGCCCCAAGAAAGTCACATAGTGAGGCCGATGATCCCTAAACCTGCAATTTATGTGACTGTTGTAACCTCCTCACAACCGTAACTGATGAATATGCATCATATCATTTCTACGCATGGCAGAAAGTAATCTACTTCTAGCCCTAGGCAGGCTCCATACGTCTGTCTGCTTCTTCTTGCATATCTGTACCAGTGGGGGTGCTGTGGGATTTGGAGCAATCTGGGGACCTGCAGAAAAGACCTATATCCAGCCTTGGTCTGTAGTTAAAGACCACCCCCATCCATAAATCCCAGTGCTGCCAGTAGCACTGCTCCATTCCTGCCTCCCCTTAAGACACATTTAATGAGCAGTTTGGGGACAGTTGGATGGGTGCAGGAAGGCTTACAGCCATCCCAGAGGCAGCCCTGAATTAACATGGTGAAGCACTACTGGCAGAGACGTGATAGAAGCAGATGAATGGCCAAGTCACAATCTACTGAGTGTTAATGGGAGTCAGGAATTAAATCCTGCTGGCTCATTAGCATGGGAAGAGGTGCCATCTGCCATGGCTGGCAAGTTCCCTGTGGCTGTTTAGGTGAGGACTGGTCTGTGAGAATGTGGGAAGACAAGATGGATACCCAGGAGAGTCAGTGCTTCACTTGCAACAGCTGTAGACAAAGTCCCTGCCTGACCAGATGCTGGAATCAGCTTTCTTGGACATCATACCCAGGGCTCAGCAGACCAGCACCTTGAGAACAATGACAGCAAGTCTGGTTAATGTTGTTTAGCCATACACAGAACGTGTTTCATGGGCAATGGGCTGTGATCCAGCCCATAGTGGAGAGCCCAGGGGAAGCCACCGTGGTACCTTGCTTTCTCTGTTGGAAGCACCGAAGAAAACAGCTGGGAAAAACTGGCAGCCTCAGGCAGTGACCCAGGTCCCCAGCGAGTAGCAGCAGGATGTCCAAAGTTCCTGAGGATGCTTGGCCTTCTGCATCAAGCCCTTGTGCCTAGGCAAAGCTGGCCCCTGTCTGTGTCCCTGGACTCATGCAGACTGGCACAGCCCACACAAATTGCAAAATCCAGCCGCAATGGAGGCAGTCCTTTCTTTTGCGTGGTCTGGGCCCTCTTTGCAGGAAAAAGGGGATATCAATATAGCCCACGTGTGGGCGAAGCAAACTTGACACCAAACTCTGAGCAAATTATTCATTACTTTTGTAAGAAGGCCAGAGGCATCCTGGACTGTCAGGAATAGTGTAGCCAGCAGGAGTAGGGAAGTGATAGGTTGGAAGGATAGTCTGAAAGACAGTGTTTTGGGTGGTGGCATGGAGAAGGGATATGTTTCCAGGCATCCAGAGGATGCTTTGGTCCTTGGTTTGGGATAGTGTGATATAAGCAACCTGCGAGGAGACAGACATGGCTCACCAGTTACAGTCCTAGGCAAAGCAGTTTAGGCCTGGGGAAGATTCATTTACTTGATTGCCCGCTAATAACGCACTAGGATAGTGAGAAGAAAAAGCAGACTAAAAGCAGCTTCCCCCTTTACTCTGTGTCTAACTCAGGTACCTGAAGGGAAGACGGCAGCAGCACACCACAACGATGGTGCTGGTTCCCAGGCTGGTGCACACTTTCACCTGATGTGTGAGCTGCAATTTTTTGGAAGCATTTTCTCGTTATCCTCAGGTTTACTTGCAGCTTCTCCCACCAGCATGCTGAGGGCAAGCACTGGCTGGCTTCCGTGCGGGCTGTGGGGCTGTGACCTCACAGAGGTGTCCCCACCCAAAGCATTATGACCTCACGGCCAAGTCTATATGAGCTAGTGACCAGCACCCTGCCTCTCCCAGTGCGGTCGTGACCGGCTTTGAGCGATGGTTAACGACAGCGTTCTCCTTGTCCCTATCACCCTTTTCTTCCTGTATGGCTGCCTGCTCTTGGTGGCAGAGGTCTTCCTGCTCACCATCATCCGGAACCTAAAGGTAAGGGAGTTTGAGGATGGGGTGATATGGGGCTGTGGGACTTGGGACCGGGGGATCTGGCACCCACTGTGTGGGTTGCATCCGAGGAGCCTCACTGTGCCACGTTCCTGTACCCGCAGGCTGGCAGACGGCGCTTGAGATTGAGGAGATGGTGGCGGCGAGGAGCACCAGCACCAGAGATTGGTGAGTCTCCTGTGGATCAGCACCACATCCCACGCTTGCCGTGATGCATGCCAGGCAGTGCTGGGCCCATTAGAGAAGCCCAGCCCTGGACTGGAAACTGGCACGCTTCAGGTCGGTCAGATGGGCCAAGGGCGTCCCTGGTGCTCCGTCCTGCTGTGGCTCAGGCCCCCTCCCTGTTTTGCAGGTGCTGACAGACAGATGGGTCGGTCATCGTGCTGCTGCTCCTTCTGCAGCCGCTGCAGCAAAGCTGACGAGAAGCTGCAGTGGCTGGTGCTGTCGGTGCTGCCTGATGACGTGCCTGCTCCAGGCCCTGACTTCTGGGAAGTGGCGTGGAAGGACCTGGAGGAGCTGGTGGAGCGGGGCAGCCTGTCCTGCTGCAGCTCCCCCAGTGTCCCGAGTGTGGAGCGGCAAGGAGCTGAGGCACCTCAGTCAAGTGAGTCTTCTGCGGGTCACCCCCAAAACCCAGGCTTGCCCTGATGCGTGCCAGGCAGTGCTGGGCCCATTGGAGGAGCCCAATCCTGGATCAGGACCTGGCACGCTTCAGGTCGGCCAGATGGGCCAAGGGCGTCCCTGGTGCTCCGTCCTGCTGTGGCTCAGGCCCTCTCCCTGTTTTGCAGGTGCCGACAGACAGACGGGTCGGCCATCGTGCTGCTGCTCCTTCTGCAGCAGCTGCAGCAAAGCTGATGAGAAGCTGAAGTGGCTGGTGCTGTCGGCGCTGCCCGATGACGTGCCTGCTCCGGGCCCTGACTTCTGGGAGGCGGCTTGGAGGGACCTGGAGGAGCTGGTGGAGCAGGGCAGCCTGTCCTGCTGCAGCTCCCACCGTCCCTGGAGCTCTACCGAAGTAAACAAGGACTCCCTTAATGTGCACCAAGGAGCCTCGGCAGAGCACGTCCCCGTTAGTGCCCCTGGACACATGCAGACTGGCACAGCCCACACAGATTCCAGAACACAGCCCAGCTGTTTGCGCTCTTTTGTGCTGCGTGTGCTGGGCTTCTCCAGGCAGGAAACAAAACCTGCCCAGATGAAGAATCAAGGTCGCAAGGCAGCCAGCAGAGCAGTTGGAGATGCCTCTGAGGATGGCTTTTCCAGCTGGCAACCACCAGCAGAGGACTGCATTTTACGCGAGAACATCCTTCTGCCAGACGGACGGCTGCCTCAGAGACCGGATAATCTGGTGCCCATCCCAGAGTGGGCACTGAATCCACCAGCAGAGCGTAGCAGCTACACACAGGCTGCGGCAACAAGAAGACCAGCTCCAACCTGCAGAGATGTCTGGACTTCTGACAGAGAAGAGAACTGCAAGTGTTTCTGTGGTGCACAGAACAGATCTGAGATGGGCAGTGGCAAGGAAAGGGGAAGAGCTGATGAGCTGCATGCTGGGACCTGCTCCTACACAGTGCCACCGGAGCTAGGGACAGTCACACGTGAGCGCATCATGCAAACAACTGTGGCTGTACATTGGTGGGAGCAGAAGGAACAGCAGCCTGTTGGATTGTCCGTGTGTCCACCAGAAGTTCTCCAAGAGCACGGGACAGTGAGACCAGCAGCAGCAGCACCTTCATGCCTGGCTATGCAAGGTAACCGCAGAAGTGCAACCCGCCTGTGTGTGAGCTCTGCCCTCACGGTCAAGAGAAGCACAGAGCAGCCCCTATGCACCTGCATGCAGCCACCTGCGAAAGAGGAACTTCATGGAGCAGTCCAGGGGCAATGTTGGCGGGTCAACAGCAATGCCCAGAAGCCTTCTGCATTTTTGTCTGCCCTAAAGTATTGGGGGGGTTCTATAACTGTGGAATCAAAAACAAATGTGGGGAAGACAGTCCAGTACAACACGAGAAAGCTGTACTGGCATGTGCAGTAGCCCCCCAGACATGCTGGGAAAGAGACATGGGGCTCCAAAGCAGACAGAGGTGCCAAAAAGGAGCCTCATAGCGTCTGCTTTGGCTTGCTGCCACCAGTGACCGTGACAATAGTACGTGGCATTCGCTATGGTCCCCTTGAGTGGCTGGCTGGTAGGAAGCGGCTCAGCTGGTTCCCGCATGGCTCTTGGCCACTGGCAGACGGCGCTTGCGACTGAGGAGATGGTGGCGGCGAGAAGCAGCAGCACTGCAGTCAGGTGAGTCTCCTGTGGGTCAGAGCCAAGCCCACGCTTGACCTGATGCATGCCAGGCAGTGCAGGGCCCATTAGAGGAGCCCAGCCCTGGACTGGGAACTGGCACGCTTCAGGTCGGCCAGATGGGCCAAGGGTGTCCCTGGTGCCCCATGTGGCTGTGGCTCAGGTCCCCTCCCTGTTTCTCAGTTGCCGACAGACAGATGGGTCGGTCATCGTGCTGCTGCTCCATCTGCAACCGCTGCAGCAAAGCTGACGAGAAGCTGCAGCGGCTGGTGCTGTCGGCACTGCCTGAGGATGCAGCAGCTCCGGGCCGTGGATTCTGGAAGGTAGCGTGGAGGGAGCTGGTGGAGCTGGTGGAGCTGGTGGGGCAGGGCAGCCTGTCCTCCTGCAGCTCCCCCAGTGCCCAGAGTGCTGCCAGAATTAATGAACTCCATCAATGTGCAGCAAGGCGCCTCAAAGGAGCTGGTCCCTGTCTGTGCGCCTGGACACGTGCAGCCTGACACGGCCCACACGTGGAAGAATGTAACAGCACCGGGGAACAGGCAGCTGGCACGTACAGTCCCATTAAATCCCCATTCTAGTCATCCTGTGGTGGTTGCTGTGTCTGTGAAGTCGCAGCGGGACGTGCGTGAGAGCGGGGTGCTCAGCAGGACAGGGCCGATCCCGGGGATCAGCCCGAGCTTCCCCCGCGCACCTGGCTGGGCAGCAGGTTGCCGTGCAGCCGACGTGGGGAGGGAGGGCGCAGGGCAAGGGTGGGCCATAAGATCAGTGGCGTCCACGGCAATGGGCAATGGGCTGTGTCCCAGCCCATGGCGTAGAACTCAGGGGAAGCCACCTTGGTTCCTTGCCTTCTCTATGGGAAGCACCGAAGAAGACAGCTGGGAAAAGCTGGCAGCCTTGGGCAGTGGCCCACGTCCCCAACAAGTAGCAGCAGGATGTCTGAAGTCCCTGAGGTAGCTCTGGTTCCTGCCACAACGCCTGCTGCTGCCCCAGCCCTTGGGACTGTGCGTTGGGTTTGTTATTAGGCGACTAACCGGGGATTCGGGCTGTCACGGTGCGGGCAGTTGGCCTGTCCCATGATAAGCACATATGGAAGTTATTCAGCATTTTGGTAGGTGCTTGGAACAGTGCGTCCATTGGCCTTGAGGAAGAAACTAAGAGAGGAAGAAGGAGCTGAAGGACGATGATAAGGAACAAGAAGATGGACACCACCTGGAGATGGCCGCCATGGAACAATGTAACAATGCAGGGCCAGTGGTAGGACTGGTGTTGGGCAGCCTGAACTGATACCCACCAATAAGGTTCTGACAAGTGGACTCTGGAGGGTATATAAGATACTGTTGAATTTCAATAAACACCATTTTGCAGCATCCCCGTATTGGTATCTGTGTTGCAATGGTCCTAGCGAGGAGAGATTGCGGGTAGAGCAAGGAGAGATCGCTAGCCCCTGCAGTGAGGGACCCTGTAATGGTGGCGTTTCTGCGGCAACCGTACCTTCTGCCTCAGTGCGTGCAACGGCCTCCCAGCTCAGCTGGAGGAGCCACTGTGCTGCTGTCAGTTGCTCCATATAAAGATTGAAGCAAGGGCTGTGACAGTCAGCTGGCCTAGTAAGGAAAGAGCCTCCACCTAAAAGGATGAATGGGGAACCTCTCCTGAGGCTCTGGGAAAAAGTTGTTAAGAAATGTGGGGAGAGATAAAATTAGAAAGGCAAGAGCCCAGCTTGAACTCGGCCACTGGGGCTAAAAGCTTTTTTACAGATCCATTAACAGTAGGAGGAGGGCTAAGGAAAATCTCCATCCTTTACTGGATGTGTTGGGGAAAACATGACAGCTGAGAATGAGGAAGAGGCTGAAGTTTTTGATGCCTTCTTTACATCTGTCTTTAAAAGTCAGATGAGTTATTCTGGGGATTCTCTATCCCCTGGCCTGCAAGTCTGGGTTGGGGAGCAGAATGAACCCCCCGTGATTCGGGGCGAAACAGAGACCTACTGCTGTACCACCTCTAGGTGCTTGTCTTGTTCAGTATATTTAAGGATGATCTTGACGAGGGAGGGTGAGTGCACCCTCTTAAGTTTGCAACTGATATAAAGCCGGGAGGAAGCACTGATCTGCCAGGGGATAGGAAGGCCCTACAGAGGGATCTGAGCTGTCTGGATCACTGGGCTGAGGCCAGTGGGATGAAATTCAACAAGACAAAGTGCTGAGTCCCGTGCTTTGGCCACAACTACCCCAGACAATGCTACAGGCTTGGGGCAGAGTGGCTGGAAGGCTGTGTGTTAGAAATGGACCTGCGGGTCCAAGAAGGCCAACAGCATCCTGCTTGCTATCAAAAATAGTACTGGCAGCAGGAGCAGGGAAGTGGTCGTCCCTCTTTATTCAGCTTTGGTGAGGCTGCACCTCTAGTACTGTGTTCACATTTGGGCCTCTAACTGCACGAAAGTCATCGAGCTTGTCCAGAAGGAAGCCACAAAGCTGGTGAGGGGTGTGGAGCATGAGTCTTATGAGGAGCAGCTGCTTGTTTAGTCTGGAGAAGAGGAGGCTCAGTGAAGATCTCAGCTCCCTACAACACCCTGAAAGGAGGTTGTGGCGAGGTGGGGGTCAGCCTCTTCTCCTGTGTTACTAGTGATAGGACTGGAAGGAGTGGCCTCAAGATGCACCAGGAGAGATTCGGGTTGGATGTTAGAAAAAATTTCTCCTCTAAAGGAGTGGTCAGGCACTGGAACGAGTTGCCCAGGGAGCTGGTGGAGTCACTGTCCCTGGAGGCATTTAAGAAACATTTAGCTGTTGTAGTAAGGGACGTGGTTTAGTAGGGAAGTGGTGGTGATAGGTGGACGGTTGGTCTGGATATCTTTTCCAACCGTGGTAATTCTATGATTCTGTGACATCAGGTGCATGTGACATAGGTGGTGGAAGCTTTTTTGGAGTGCACCATTGTCATATGCCAGCACAGTGGCAGCGATAATGTAGAAGGTTGGAGACGTAACAGTGATGGATGGAGTGTCTAGCCTGTTCCAACAGTACGATGAATATCGCTAAATCTTCCTCCCTATGGGCCTGTGTCACAGTCTCAGTTGTGGAGAAATTGTTTAGTGTCTCAAGGGGAAAAATCTACTTCCCTACTTGCATGCAGAGGTATTTCATGTATTTGATGTGCGCATTTCTCCACTCAGGAGAGATTGTTAAGTGAGAAACCTCTCTCATGCCATCCTGTGGCTTCACCTGTGAGAAGCGGGATGGAAAAACCATCTCAGCCCTCAGGCATGGGTGTGTGAGTTGTAAGGAAAATGGGGGTTCTCCTAGAAAAAGTGCTTGCTCCACTTTCTGCTGGGCAGCTCCCCAGACCAAGAAGGTAGCGTAATCATATTTCTGAGGCTAACGAGCACTACAGTTTGTATTCATGAGAGGTCCAAAGAAGGGCTACAAGGCTTATGAAGGACGTGGAGAGTATGCCCTACGAGGAGCAACTCGAGGAACTGCGGCTGTCTGGGGAAGAGGAGGCTGAGGGGAGACCTTTGCTGTCTCCAAACACCTGAGGGAACTGGACAGGCTGGATAGCTTGGCTGAAGCCAACAGGATGAATTTCAACAGGCCAAATGCCAGGTCCTGCACTTTGGCCGCAACAACCGCAGGCAATGCTACAGGCTTGGGGTGGAGTGGCTGGAAGACTGCGTAGAGGAAATGGACCTGGGGGCACTGATTGGTGCTCGGCTGAACAGGAGCATGCAGTGTGCCTGGGTGGCCAAGAAGGCCAATGGCATCCTGGCTTGCATCAGGAACGGTGTTGTCAGCAGGAGCAGAGAAGTGATGGTCTGTCTGTATTCTGCCCTGGTGAGGCCGCACCTCGAGTGCAGTGTCCAGTTTTGGGCCCCACACTGCAAGAAAGACATGGAGGCCCTGGAGCGGGTTCAGAGAAGGGCAACAGAGTTGGTGAGGGGTCTGGAGCACAGGGCTTATGAGGAGCGGCTGAAGGAGCTGGGAATGTTCAGCCTGGAGAAGAGGAGGCTCAGGGGAGACCTCACTGCTCTCCGTAACTACCTGAAGGGAGTTGCAGCGAGCTGGGGGTCGGGCTCTTCTCTCATGAAACTGGTGATAGGACTGGAGGGAATGGCTTCAAGCTGCACCAGGGGAGATTTGGGCTGGATGTCAGGAAATACTACTTTCCTGAAAGAGTGATCAGGCACTGGAATGGGCTGCCCAGGGAGCTGGTGGAGTCACCAGCCTTTGAGGTGTTCCAGGAACGTTTAAACATTGTGTTGAGGCATATGGTCTAGTGGGAACTATTGGTGGCAGGTGAACGGTTGGACTGGATGATCTTGTAGGTCTTTTCCAACCTCGGTGATTATTTCATTCTCTTATTCTACGAACTCCTTGAGAGCAGCCCTGACAAGAAGGACTTGGGGGTCCTGGTGAACGAGAAGCTGGACATGAGCCAGCAGTGTGTGCTTGCAGCCTGGAAGGCCAACTACATCCTGGTGTGCATTAAGAGAGGGGTGGCCAGCAGGGAGAGGGAGGTGACTGTTCCCCTCTGCTCAGCTTTTGTGAGGCCCCATCTGGAATGCTGAGGTCTGGGCTGGGGCCTCCAGCACAAGACAGACGCGGAGCTCTTGGAACAGCTCCAGAGAGGCGCCACTAAGATGATCAGAGGGCTGGAGCACCTCTCCTGTGAAGAAAGGTTGAGGGAACTGGGCTTGTTTAGTGTGGAGAAGTCTTTCAGGAGACCTCATTGTGGCCTTCCAGTACTTGTATTCCAGGAGCGTATTAACAGGAGGGGGAATGGCCGTTTACGAGGGAGGATAGTGATAGCACAAGGGGGAATAGTTTTAAACTGAGACACGGGGGGTTTAGTTGAGATATTAGATGGAAGATTTTCATACAGAATGTGGTGACGCACTGGAACAGGTCGCCCAAGGAGGTTGTGGATGCCCCATCCCTGGAGGCATTCAAGGCCAGGCTGGATGTGGTTTTGTGCAGCCTGGTCTGGTGATTGGCAACCCTGCACATAGCAGACGGGTTGAATCAAAATGATCTTTGTGGTCCTTTTCAACCCCAGCCATTCTGTGACTCTACGATTCTGATTCCACGTTTCTATGGTTCTGTGATTCTTTGACCCCTCAGTGGGCTCTGCTGGTGTGCAACAGGATGATCTATCCACGCAAAGCCATGCTCTTTGGCATAGGTGTCGATGGGGCCATTTCAGAAATGAGTCCTGTTTGACTGATCTTTTCTGGGGTGCCATGCCCTTTGCTTTTCAAGGCCCAGGATAGTGTTTTGGGTGGTGGCATGGAGAAGGGATATGTTTCCAGGCATCCAGAGGATGCTTTGGTCCTTGGTTTGGGATAGTGTGATATAAGCAACCTGCGAGGAGACAGACATGGCTCACCAGTTACAGTCCTAGGCAAAGCAGTTTAGGCCTGGGGAAGATTCATTTACTTGATTGCCCGCTAATAACGCACTAGGATAGTGAGAAGAAAAAGCAGACTAAAAGCAGCTTCCCCCTTTACTCTGTGTGTAACTCAGGTACCTGAAGGGAAGACGGCAGCAGCACACCACAACGATGGTGCTGGTTCCCAGGCTGGTGCACACTTTCACCTGATGTGTGAGCTGCAATTTTTTGGAAGCATTTTCTCGTTATCCTCAGGTTTACTTGCAGCTTCTCCCACCAGCATGCTGAGGGCAAGCACTGGCTGGCTTCCGTGCGGGCTGCGGGGCTGTGACCTCACAGAGGTGTCCCCACCCAAAGCATTATGACCTCACGGCCAAGTCTATATGAGCTAGTGACCAGCACCCTGCCTCTCCCAGTGCGGTCGTGACCGGCTTTGAGCGATGGTTAACGACAGCGTTCTCCTTGTCCCTATCACCCTTTTCTTCCTGTATGGCTGCCTGCTCTTGGTGGCAGAGGTCTTCCTGCACACCATCATCCGGAACCTAAAGGTAAGGGAGTTTGAGGATGGGGTGATATGGGGCTGTGGGACTTGGGACCGGGGGATCTGGCACCCACTGTGTGGGTTGCATCCGAGGAGCCTCACTGTGCCACGTTCCTGTACCCGCAGGCTGGCAGACGGCGCTTGAGATTGAGGAGATGGTGGCGGCGAGGAGCACCAGCACCAGAGATTGGTGAGTCTCCTGTGGATCAGCACCACATCCCACGCTTGCCCTGATGCATGCCAGGCAGTGCTGGGCCCATTAGAGAAGCCCAGCCCTGGACTGGAAACTGGCACGCTTCAGGTCGGTCAGATGGGCCAAGGGCGTCCCTGGTGCTCCGTCCTGCTGTGGCTCAGGCCCCCTCCCTGTTTTGCAGGTGCTGACAGACAGACGGGTCGGTCATCGTGCTGCTGCTCCTTCTGCAGCCGCTGCAGCAAAGCTGACGAGAAGCTGCAGTGGCTGGTGCTGTCGGCGCTGCCTGATGACGTGCCTGCTCCAGGCCCTGACTTCTGGGAAGTGGCGTGGAAGGACCTGGAGGAGCTGGTGGAGCGGGGCAGCCTGTCCTGCTGCAGCTCCCCCAGTGCCCCGAGTGTGGAGCGGCAAGGAGCTGAGGCACCTCAGTCAGGTGAGTCTTCTGCGGGTCACCCCCAAAACCCAGGCTTGCCCTGATGCGTGCCAGGCAGTGCTGGGCCCATTGGAGGAGCCCAATCCTGGATCAGGACCTGGCACGCTTCAGGTCGGCCAGATGGGCCAAGGGCGTCCCTGGTGCTCCGTCCTGCTGTGGCTCAGGCCCCCTCCCTGTTTTGCAGGTGCCGACAGACAGACGGGTCGGCCATCGTGCTGCTGCTCCTTCTGCAGCAGCTGCAGCAAAGCTGATGAGAAGCTGAAGTGGCTGGTGCTGTCGGCGCTGCCCGATGACGTGCCTGCTCCGGGCCCTGACTTCTGGGAGGCGGCTTGGAGGGACCTGGAGGAGCTGGTGGAGCAGGGCAGCCTGTCCTGCTGCAGCTCCCACCGTCCCTGGAGCTCTACCGAAGTAAACAAGGACTCCCTTAATGTGCACCAAGGAGCCTCGGCAGAGCACGTCCCCGTTAGTGCCCCTGGACACATGCAGACTGGCACAGCCCACACAGATTCCAGAACACAGCCCAGCTGTTTGCGCTCTTTTGTGCTGCGTGTGCTGGGCTTCTCCAGGCAGGAAACAAAACCTGCCCAGATGAAGAATCAAGGTCGCAAGGCAGCCAGCAGAGCAGTTGGAGATGCCTCTGAGGATGGCTTTTCCAGCTGGCAACCACCAGCAGAGGACTGCATTTTACGCGAGAACATCCTTCTGCCAGACGGACGGCTGCCTCAGAGACCGGATAATCTGGTGCCCATCCCAGAGTGGGCAGTGAATCCACCAGCAGAGCGTAGCAGCTACACAGAGGCTGCGGGAGTGGCAACAAGAAGACCAGCTCCAACCTGCAGAGATGTCTGGACTTCTGACAGAGAAGAGAACTGCAAGTGTTTCTGTGGTGCACAGAACAGATCTGAGATGGGCAGTGGCAAGGAAAGGGGAAGAGCTGATGAGCTGCATGCTGGGACCTGCTCCTACACAGTGCCACCGGAGCTAGGGACAGTCAAACGTGAGCGCATCATGCAAACAACTGCGGCTGTACATTGGTGGGAGCAGAAGGAACAGCAGCCTGTTGGATTGTCCGTGTGTCCACCAGAAGTTCTCCAAGAGCACGGGACAGTGAGACCAGCAGCAGCAGCACCTTCATGCCTGGCTATGCAAGGTAACCACAGAAGTGCAACCCGCCTGTGTGTGAGCTCTGCCCTCACGGTCAAGAGAAGCACAGAGCAGCCCCTATGCACCTGCATGCAGCCACCTGCGAAAGAGGAACTTCATGGAGCAGTCCAGGGGCAATGTTGGCGGGTCAACAGCAATGCCCAGAAGCCTTCTGCATTTTTGTCTGCCCTAAAGTACTGGGGGGGTTCTATAACTGTGGAATCAAAAACAAATGTGGGGAAGACAGTCCAGTACAACACGAGAAAGCTGTACTGGCATGTGCAGTAGCCCCCCAGACATGCTGGGAAAGAGACATGGGGCTCCAAAGCAGACAGAGGTGCCAAAAAGGAGCCTCATAGCGTCTGCTTTGGCTTGCTGCCACCAGTGACCGTGACAATAGTACGTGGCATTCGCTATGGTCCCCTTGAGTGGCTGGCTGGTAGGAAGCGGCTCAGCTGGTTCCCGCATGGCTCTTGGCCACTGGCAGACGGCGCTTGCGACTGAGGAGATGGTGGCGGCGAGAAGCAGCAGCACCAGAGACAGGTGAGTCTCCTGTGGGTCAGAGCCAAGCCCACGCTTGACCTGATGCATGCCAGGCAGTGCTGGGCCCATTAGAGGAGCCCAGCCCTGGACTGGGAACTGGCACGCTTCAGGTCGGCCAGATGGGCCAAGGGTGTCCCTGGTGCCCCATGTGGCTGTGGCTCAGGTCCCCTCCCTGTTTCTCAGTTGCCGACAGACAGATGGGTCGGTCATCGTGCTGCTGCTCCATCTGCAACCGCTGCAGCAAAGCTGACGAGAAGCTGCAGTGGCTGGTGCTGTCAGCACTGCCTGAGGATGCAGCAGCTCCGGGCCGTGGATTCTGGAAGGTAGCGTGGAGGGAGCTGGTGGAGCTGGTGGAGCTGGTGGGGCAGGGCAGCCTGTCCTCCTGCAGCTCCCCCAGTGCCCAGAGTGCTGCCAGAATTAATGAACTCCATCAATGTGCAGCAAGGCGCCTCAAAGGAGCTGGTCCCTGTCTGTGCGCCTGGACACGTGCAGCCTGACACGGCCCACACATGGAAGAATGTAACAGCACCGGGGAACAGGCAGCTGGCACGTACAGTCCCATTAAATCCCCATTCTAGTCATCCTGTGGTGGTTGCTGTGTCTGTGAAGTCGCAGCGGGACGTGCGTGAGAGCGGGGTGCTCAGCAGGACAGGGCCGATCCCGGGGATCAGCCCGAGCTTCCCCCGCGCACCTGGCTGGGCAGCAGGTTGCCGTGCAGCCGACGTGGGGAGGGAGGGCGCAGGGCAAGGGTGGGCCATAAGATCAGTGGCGTCCACGGCAATGGGCAATGGGCTATGTCCCAGCCCATGGCGTAGAACTCAGGGGAAGCCACCTTGGTTCCTTGCCTTCTCTATGGGAAGCACCGAAGAAGACAGCTGGGAAAAGCTGGCAGCCTTGGGCAGTGGCCCACGTCCCCAACAAGTAGCAGCAGGATGTCTGAAGTCCCTGAGGTAGCTCTGGTTCCTGCCACAACGCCTGCTGCTGCCCCAGCCCTTGGGACTGTGCGTTGGGTTTGTTATTAGGCGACTAACCGGGGATTCGGGCTGTCACGGTGCGGGCAGTTGGCCTGTCCCATGATAAGCACATATGGAAGTTATTCAGCATTTTGGTAGGTGCTTGGAACAGTGCGTCCATTGGCCTTGAGGAAGAAACTAAGAGAGGAAGAAGGAGCTGAAGGACGATGATAAGGAACAAGAAGATGGACACCACCTGGAGATGGCCGCCATGGAACAATGTAACAATGCAGGGCCAGTGGTAGGACTGGTGTTGGGCAGCCTGAACTGATACCCACCAATAAGGTTCTGACAAGTGGACTCTGGAGGGTATATAAGATACTGTTGAATTTCAATAAACACCATTTTGCAGCATCCCCCGTATTGCTGTCTGTGTTGCAATGGTCCTAGCGAGGAGAGATTGCGGGTAGAGCAAGGAGAGATCGCTAGCCCCTGCAGTGAGGGACCCTGTAATGGTGGCGTTTCTGCGGCAAGCAGTGCCCCATTTGAGCAGCGTCTAGCTGCTGTCCCTGCCGTGTGAGGGTTGTCTGACTGCAGTCTCTGTTGTCCCTTGGAATAGTTAAGTTGTGGCCTCGATGGAGTTGGTGATAAAGGTACTGTTACAGTTGGGGAAGGATTATGCTGGTAAAGATATGCCTTCTAAGAAGGAAATAACCACCGTGGTATTCCGGTTAGAACGGGAGGGGGTCTTTGCGGACCCCAGGGATATTTTGAAGCCCCGCAAATGGGATATTACTCTCGCCCTTGCGCAGCATGCAATGACTGCGCAAAAGACAAAAGAACTTAAAAGAAGGGGCTTGCTGCTGGGAATGCTTAAATCAGCTAAAGAAGAAATGGAGGCAAACAGAGCTGCTCGGCAGCTTCTCGGACCGGTCCCGCTGGCGGGGGGTGCGGGAGTAGCGATTTCGGCAGCGGGAGGAGTCGGGGAGGGTCTGACGGGGGTGCGCGGAATGTTAGCATTCTTCGGAATGACGGGCAGGCGGAGAGGGGAGCGGGAGGCGGTGTAACGTACAGGTGTTCGAGTGATGGCATCCGGCCAGCGCCATTCACCCCGATCGCGCCTGATGGAAAAGGCGGCGTCCGGCCGGTGCCACCTGCTCCGGGCCTGCCCGGTGGAGGAAGGCAACGTGGCGACTGCCCGCCACCGTATCCGGATCCATCGACTCGTCCATCATATCCTTTTCTGGAATTGACAGGGTGCACGACTAATCAGGAGTCTCCTCAGCAGATAAGGGCTGAGCCGGCTCCACAGCAGATGCAGGCGGAGCCAAGGCTAGCGCCTTGGAAACAGATAGCGTCCTGTCAGGCAAAGGCGGCGACGGAGGCGGAGAGAGGGCGTGACTCACAGAACCAGCGATTTGCTGTACCCTCAGGGGAGGATTGGCTGTCGGCCCTGCCCGTGGCTTGTTGTTAAATACGGTAGAAACTGGTTAAGTTTTTGTGCTATTAGCTATGTGCTGTAAGAACGCAGAAACATGGGAACGAAATAGTTATTTACAGTTAACGCAAAGCATCACACAGTCTTTTAATATGTCTAGCTGCTGGGTATGCACATCACTCCCTAAAGTAAGTGGGGAGTTATCGTCATTTGGGGTTGTCGCCCTCAATTGGACCATCCCAGATTGGGTGTCAGGTGGTAAATGTAAGTTTGGTGAAGAGTTGGAGCAATTTAAAGCACTGCGATTTGAATTGCTCATTATTAATACTACTAGGTCCATCTTTGTAGTTTGGAAAGTAATGATTCCATAGATGTCTGGTGGCGAAATTTGGCGGGCATGGGTTGAAGTTGGGACTATGGAGCTCTGGAATGGTGACAGGCACGAACGAGACATCTTGTTGGAAGCAAGGCGAGAAGTGTGACCCCAGAGAAGACGCAACTAGTGAGTGGTCCACAAATCAAAACTTTTTGGAGGTTGTGGGAATGGGAACGGCCTTCACACAGCAGGAAAGTATGGCTAAGCCGTGCAAGTTGCCCTTTGGGTATTGGTGGTTATGTGGGGATGGTTGGGCCTGTAAGGCATTGCCGCAGAATTGGGCTGGTACACGTACAGCGGGGTATTTGGTACCACAAGTATCGATACGCAATGGGTCCTTGCAGGTCTCTTGCGATCTCCTTGGAAACGTATAAAAAGAGTAAACAACCCCCTTGTTGTTAGACCCACTGATTTTCATAGTTTTGTTAGATGGTTCTTTCCAAACTTAGGAGTAAGCGAGTTAGAAAAGGCAATTGTGAATATCTCAGCTACCCTGGAAGATATTGAGAATGACACTATGAATGCCTTGGTGTCTATCCAAAGGGAAGTTTCCTCATTAAGTCAGGTAATCCTACAGAATAGGATGGCATTGGATCTATTAATGGCCAAAGAAGGAGGGGTGTGTATGGTTATTAATCAAAGTTGTTGTGTTTGTATTGATGAATCCCAAAAGGTGGAAACGGATTTGGAAGCAATATGGAAATATACAAAAGTGTTGCATCGGGTGTCAGAAGACAACACATCATTTGGATTTGCAGAAGTATGGAGGGCATTAATGAGTTGGCCACCCAGTCTTGCTTGGCTTAAGTATTATTTGTTGCTTTAATAGTTATAGCCATATTGTTTGTAATCACTTGCATTATGATGCGATGTATACTCACAGTTTGTATGGGAATAAACAAGGACATAAGGGTTGATAGAAACAAAGCATTTCTCTGAAATGTAGGCGTTATGTGGGGATGTGTGTTGTGATGGTTGTAGCTATCTTAGGGCATGGATAGGGGGAAATGTTGGGTTTGTTATTAGGCGACTAACCGGGGATTCGGGCTGTCACGGTGCGGGCAGTTGGCCTGTCCCATGATAAGCACATATGGAAGTTATTCAGCATTTTGGTAGGTGCTTGGAACAGTGCGTCCATTGGCCTTGAGGAAGAAACTAAGAGAGGAAGAAGGAGCTGAAGGACGATGATAAGGAACAAGAAGATGGACACCACCTGGAGATGGCCGCCATGGAACAATGTAACAATGCAGGGCCAGTGGTAGGACTGGTGTTGGGCAGCCTGAACTGATACCCACCAATAAGGTTCTGACAAGTGGACTCTGGAGGGTATATAAGATACTGTTGAATTTCAATAAACGCCATTTTGCAGCATCCCCCGTATTGGTGTCTGATTATCTGATCCTCTGGTGTTGACCAGCCAGGTGGCTTCTGCCAAATACTTCTCCCAGTGCTCAAATGTTCTGCCACCCATTGTTTTTAACATGGTTTTTAACAACCTGTTGTAGCATTACCAGAGGCTCCTGCATGATAGGGGATATGATAAAGCCACTCGATGCCATGTTCTCTGGCCCAAGTATCCACAAGTGAATTTTTGAAATGAGTCCTATTATCAGACTCAATTCTTTCCGGGGTGCCATGTCGCCATAGGATTTGCCTCTCCAAACCTAATGTGGTGTTTCAGATGGTAGCATGGGGTACTGCATATGTTTCAAGCCACCCAGTGGTTGCCTCCACCACGGTGAGCACATAACACTTATCATTGCGAGATCATGGCAAGGTGATGTAATCAACCTGCCATGCCTCCCCATATTTGTACTTTTGCCATCACCCTTCCTCCCAGAGAGGTTTCATCCTCTTGGCTTGTTTAATTGTGGTGAATGTGTCACAGTCATGAATGATTTGTGCAATAGCATCCAGACTTAAATCCACCTCTTGGTTTCTAGCTCACTTAAATGTTGCGTCTCTTCCTTGATGGCCTGAGGTCTTATGGGCCCATTGAGCTAGAAGTAATTCACCCTTGTTCTGCCAATCTAGGTCTATTTGAGCCACCTCAATTTTGGCAGCTCGGTCTACCTGATGGTTATTTTGCTGATCTTCAGTAGCCTGACTCTTGGGCACATGGGCATCTACGTGACGCACCTTTATAACCATATTTTTTGTTCGGGAAGCAATATCTTTCCACAGTTCAGCAGCCCAAATAGGTTTACCCATTCTTTGCCAGTTATTTTGTTCCTGGTGTAACCACCCCCATAAGGCATTTGCTACCATCAATGAGTCAGTGTAAAGATAGAGCATTGGCCACCTCTCCCGTTCAGCAACATCTAAGGCCAGTTGGACAGCTTTTACCTCTGCAAATTGATTTGATTCTCCTTTCCCTTCGGTGGCCTCTGCAACTTGTCGTGTGGGGCTCCACACAGCAGATTTCCATCTGCGATGCTTTCCCACAATACGACACGATCCATCTGTGAACAGGGCATCTGTCTTTTCATTTTCTGGTAGTTCATTGTATGGTGGGGCCTCTTTAGCACGTGATACTTCTTCTGCTGGTGGTGTTCCAAACTTTTTGCCTTCAGGCCAGTCCATGACCACCTCTAGGATCCCTGGATGGCTGAGGTTCCCTATCTGCGCTCGCTGCGTAATCAGCGCAATCCACTTACTCCAAGTGGCATCAGTTACATGGTGGGTGGAGGGACCCTTTCCCTTGAACATTCAGTTCAGCACTGGCAGTCGAGGTGCCAGAAGGATCTGTGTTTCAGCACCGGTTACTTCGGAAGCAGCCCAACCCCCCTTATACTTGGCTAAGATCTCCTCAGTTGGAGTGTAGCGCTCTTCAGCCCTCTGTACGCCCCACTCCAAAATCCCAGGGGTCAGCCTTGGGTCTCTCCTAAGGCTCTTTGCCACACACTCCAAGTGGGACCTTTCTCTCCAGCAGCAGTGTAGAGTGTCTCTTTCTTATTAGTGGGTGGAGACATGGCAGTGATTTTGTCGATCACATCTGTTGGGATATGACAACAGCCATCTTGCCACTTAACTCCTAGGAATTGGATTTCCTGGGTGGGTCCTTTCACTTTGCTTCGCTTAATAGCAAAACCAGCATGCAGAAGGATCTGGATTATTTGCTCTCCTTTCTCAAAAAATTCCTTTGCTGTGTTGCCCCACACAATGATGTCATCAATGTACTGTAATTGCTCAGGAGCACCTCCCTGTTCCAGTGCGGCTTGGATCAACCCATGGCAAATGGTTGGGCTATGTATCTACTCCTGGGGCAAACGGTTCCAGGTATACTGAATGCCCCTCCAGGTGAAAGCAAACTGTGGCCTACATTCTTTGGCCAAAGGAATGGAGAAAAAGGCATTAGCAATGTCAATGGTGGCATACCATTTGGCTGCTTTTGACTCCGGTTCATACTGGAGTTCTAACATGTCCGGCACAGCAGCACTCAGTGGAGGTGTGACTTCATTCAGGCCACGGTAGTCCACCGTGAGCCTCCATTCTCCGTGGGCTTTATGCACTGGCTATATGGGGCTGTTAGAAGGTGAGTCTTGCTAATCACTCCTTGATTCTCTAGTTGACAAAACAACTTCTGAATGGGGAGCAAAGAATCCCTGTTGGTGCGGTGCTGCCATCTGTGCACCGTTTTTGTAGCAATTGGTACCTGTTGCTCTTTCACTTGTAGCAACCCCACAACAGATGGATCTTTTGATAAGTCAGGCAAAACAGACAGCTGCTTAACACCTTCTGTGTCTACAGCAGCTATTCCAAAGGCCCCTCGATACCCTTTGGGATCTTTAAAGTATCCCCTTTTGAGGTAATCAATACCAAGTATACATGGAGCCCTGAGCCAGTCACAATAGGGTGCTTTTGCCAGTCTTTACCAGTGAGGCTGATTTTGGCCTCTGATATAGTCAGCTCTTGGGAACTCCCAGTCACTCCATGAATATAAATTGATTTTGTCACTTGGTGACTTGAGGGCATTCGAGTGCACTGTGCACCAGTATCCACCAGGGCCTTATATTTCCATGATTCTGATGTGCCTGACCATCTAATCCACAGTCCAATATACTCTATTATCACTTTCCCCCCTTGGCTGGGGGTAGGGTCCCTCTATTTGTTACCTCCATTGTCTGCAGCAACTGGAGCAATCACCTTTTTGGAAAAGTTCACTTTGGTGGTTGATTTGTCTTGTAATTCTTTTACCCGTGCTTGAAGTGCAGGAGTAGGTTGTTTATGCCACTTCTTCATATCTTCTCCATGGTCACATAGGTAATGCCACAAGGCAAAATGTGACGTAATCTTACTGTTGTCACTTGCTCGAGCAGGACATCTTCTTTTGATAGCTGAGATATTGGATGGCACCGGCTGGGAGGAAATCAAGTTGATCAGCCTTTCCAGTAGGCTGTTTTGGGAATTCTGGTTCCCATTGGATGCATCTGTTACCACCATGGATTCATCAGCATCAGGCACGATTGATAGCTTGTCTATTATCTCTTCTTGTTCTCCATTCCATCTAGCTTTTCAGCTACTTTTGCAATGGTTGAAACACAGGCTCGTAGAGGGCTTAAATGTAACTCAAAGTCTTGAAGTTTATTAATCAGTTCATTTATAAGGGGTCTTCTTTCCCTTCTGCCATGCGTTGCTGCAAATGTACTGGCGTACCTCTCTGGTGCAGTCTTTGTGAATGTATGCCACATGTTTGGTGTACACCTGGCTCTCTCAGGATCATGCTCTTGGTCTGGCTCGTTAGGAATGAAATGGGGGCTATGTAGCCTTTCCACCACAGCATAATTCTCTTAAATAACGGATGCCTTCTTCCATATCAGTCCATTACTTTTTCTCAGGCATCTGATCGTCTTTGAAGGGTATTTTTCTTTTACAGCTAACAACATCTGCTTCCAGAGGGTAAAGGCCTGGTTCTGGCATGTACTAATGTACTATGCACACTGTATCCAAGAAATGTTTAAGAATGATCTTTAGCCTGAAGACCTTTGTCTTCAGCCTGAAGTCAATGGCTGAATCCCTAGCCACCCAGTTGGCGAGCTTTTCTACTATCTAGCCGCACACTGTTGGCCCCATTGTCCCAGCATCGAAGTAACCAAGTGGCAATAGGCTCATTCGGGTGACGTGAGAAGTCTTTTCTCAGACTTCGAATTTCATTCATTTTCAGAGATGATCAACAATGGTAACAATATCTTGCTCACCTCCTACTCTTTCAGGACTTCTTGTTGCCCTCATAGGTGTTGGTGACCGTGGTCTTACTGAGGGCCCCTCAGAGGCACTTCTCCTGGATCACGGAGCCACTCCTCTGGACCTCTTTCCTCCTCTTTCTTCTCTTCTAACTGAGTCAAGATTCATTTCATTTTCCATCTTCTTACAGTGGTGACTGACATCAACTGTGGTGCCTCCTGTGGTTGATCAGATTGGTCAGTTCCAGTGCTCTCATCCTCCAGCTCAGCTTGGAGCCTGTCTCGTTCGATTATGAGAGTATCTAGCTCAGACTGGAGGGTGTCTTGTTGAGATTGAAGACTGTCGAGTTTGGATTGCAGGGAGTCTCTCAATTCAGAGGGCATCTCTCTCAGATTGGAGGTCTTTTCTCTGGAGCAGGAGACTCTCGCTCATTTTGTACTGTTTACCCGAGACTCTCCCTTTCAATTTCACAAACTCTCTCCCTCTCCAGGATAGTATTGAATAAGGTCCGATGAGCATCAGCCAGATCCCAAATCATTTGTGCCTCCTCAGATCTGCCTGAGCCACAGCATTCCTGTCTCAAATATCTGCTTAAGCTCTCGGGGTCTTTCAGGTGTTTAGGAGTAAAGTTCCATGACACTGAAGATTTCCATCTGTCTAAAGTCTTTCCCGAGCCTCTCCACACTCCCTGCCACTCAGTATTCTCTGGTTTTGGGGAGGACTTTCTCAAAATATAATAAATACTAATACTGAGTGAAATGATGAGCAGTACATTCAGGAGATTAACAGTGCGATCAGGTGAGCATTCAAAAACTGCATAAAGGATTCAAAGGAGAGACTGGAAACCTGCTTAAAAATCCCCAGTCCTGTAAAATTAGCAGCTCCCTCTGGAACTGTATGCCACTCTGTACACAGATACCAGGTACATATTTCCACCAGTGTTGTCAATCGATTGTATATACCTATACTTCTATAGAGCAAAGTGGCGAACTTAATTAAGGCCCAGTATGTTTTGAGCATTAAAAAAGAAGAAACAGTGGCATGCAGTCCCTTGAAAGGCAGTTTCAGAAGAGAAAGTTTTTTTTGTTTTGTTTTGCTTTGTTGTGTATTGACAGAAGCAAGATGGCAAGGCTCAGAATTTACAAATATCCTAGAATACTGGCAGTCCGCCTGGACTTTTCAAGGTCATGTTTTCAGAGAGTACCGGTGAAACATAAACTTTCCCAATGAAGCTCTCCGAGAGCAGAGAGATTCGTTCTAAAAAGCTAAAAAGCAACTGTTGCCCGCATCCTTCACCAAGACTGTCAGTGGTTTACAGGCTGGTTCGGCCCAGTTCCGCGACCAGCAGGGCGGAGGGATCCGTGGATCCATGCCTCCGGAAAAGGGAAACAGGGGACCCCAAAATAATTGAGAACAGCAGCAACGATCTGAGGTGAAACAAACTAATTTACTAAATATGGTATCGGCAAAATATAATGAGAGAGAGAGAGTGAAAGGTGGAGAGGCCTCACCACAATGCTGAGGTGAGAAGTGCAGTCCAGTTGAGCCAATGAAGAAAAGCAGACAGAGAAGAGCAGACGGAGAAACGCAGGAGAAGAAGAGCAGGCGAAGAAGAGAACATCTGGTGACGTTGCAAGAAGTTATATCTCCTTGCTGACTGCAAAGCTGCCTGGGGAAATGTAGTTCTCCTCCGGCAGGCACCTGGAACTTGAGCATCAGCAGTCAAACCCCCAGTGCATTACATGATGTTATCGTGTGGAATACTGATAACCAAAAATCATAAAACCATGACACCTTCCCTGGCACACAGGTCATGGTAACAGGCCTGTAGTTCCCCAGATCCTCCTTACAACCCTTCTTGTAGATGGGAGTCACGCTGGCAAGCCTCCAGTCTTCTGGGACCTCACCAGTCAACAAGGAGCGCTGATAGATAATGGCAAGCGGCTCGGCTCTCACCTCCGCCAGTTCCCTCAGCTCTCTGGGTGAATCCCATCCGGTCCCTGGACTTGTGACAGTGCAGCTGGAGTAGTAGGTCTGTGACTGCGTCCTCCCGAATTGCAGGGAGTTCTGTCTGCACCCCAGCCGAGACTACCAGGTCAGAGAGTGGAGCACCCTGAGGATAACTGGTGTGACCTTTAAAGACAGACGTAAAGAAGGCATTCACAACCTCTGCCTTTTCCTTGCCCTCAGTGGTCACATTCCCAGCCTCCTCCAGTAAAAATGAAGATTTTCCTTAGTACTCCTCTTACCACTGATGTATTTGTAAAAGGCTTTCTTGTTCCTTTTTACCCCAGCGGCCAGGTTGAGTTCAATCTGGGCTTTTGCCTTTCTGACTTTCTCTCTATATATCTTAACAACTTATCTGTACTCTTTTGGAGTCACCTGTCTTTCTTCCACAGGAGGTAGATTCTCTTTTTCTCCCGGAACCTCAAGAATAGCTCCCTGTTCGTCCATGCCGGTCTTCTTCCCCGCTGGCTCATTTTGCAGCTTGGGGACAGTCAGCTCCTGTGCCTTTAAGACTTCCCTCTCACTGCCGGATTTCCTCCTCTGGCTGCCTCCCATCCCCAGCACCCCCTGCCTGATCCCCACCTGCCCGCAGGTCGAGCTGTCGGATGGCACGTCACACACCATCACAGATGCCTATGCTGGCAAGGAGTACATCATCCAGGTGGCCGCCAAAGACAACGACATCGGCACGTGGAGCAACTGGAGCGTGGCTGTGCATGCCACCCCCTGGACGGAGGAGCCCAAGCACCTCACCACGGAGGTTCAGATCACAGGTGAGACCCTCACCCAGCACAAACACCCCACACTCAGGAGTCCAGGGTATGGAGACCCCAGCACTGGGGGTGTGTGGCAGAGGAGGGCACAGCCCTTTACCACGTGCCTTCACGAGCCTGTGGCCCCGTTGCATGGTTGGAATGGCCCAGGAGGTGCTGACTCAGCACACCTAGCTCTGGCATCTTCCTCACTGGAGTGCTCCAAGTGCCACGACAGGGCTCTGGATTTATTAGTATTTGCTGGAGTGCTGCCCCCCACCATCTCCAGCTCTTCCTCTCCTCCACAGCTCCAACCCCGCGCAATGGCTCGGAGCGATGCCAGTTAGAAATAAAAGCCCCCAAGTTAACAAGCCTCTGTTTCTAGGAAAGAGCTGGGACCGTGTCCAAATGCACGTTATCAGCCCTTGGCTTCCCAGAAGGATGGGAGCGTGCCCTGCGCCGGTTCCCCTGACTGGCACCAGCTGTGGGGTGGCTGGGAAGCACTGGGGGACACTCATTGCCAGGCACTCTGGAACCCTCTGGGTCTACTGTTAGAGAACAGAAAGTCCCATAGACCACGCTGTCTCCATTCTCATCATCTTCTCCATCCAGCTTGGCCCTAGCGTAGCACCGTTGGGCAGTGTGGGGATGGGATGCTGCCCTACTCCTGTGGGCAACATCCTAGGGGGCCCCAGCTCCTCTCACCACCCACTCTCCCTCCCTGCAGAGACGACGAGCACCAGCACTTCCTCTTTCATGCCGCCCCCCACCACCAAGATCTGCGACAAGGGGGCCGGAGTGGGCAGTGGCGCCGTGGCAGTGTGTTGGACAGCTGGACTCGTCTTGGCTGCCTATGGTGTCCTCTTTATTTAGTGAGTATGCCCCAAATGGGGGCATGAGGGATGGGGTGGGTGCTGGAAGGGCGTGAAGAGCTCAGGGTCTGTAGCATGGTTGGGAAGGAGACGCTGAGCAGCCTGTGGGCGACGGCTGTTGGGTAGGAAGCATTTGAGTTTGCTTGCAGTTCTTTGTCAATAAACCCAACATGGCTGCTTTTCCAAATCGGGTGTTCTGGTGAAGATAGCTGGACATGGTTTTTCAGACACCTTCTGCAAAGCTTGCAAAGGAGTTGGGCTTAGATGCTCATGTTCAGCAGAGATGGGGCATAAAGGATGTGCCACCCACCAGGAGGCACCAGAAAGTGCACCAAACAGCCTCTCACATACTGAGGCAGAATGTTGAAAGGTGCACAACACTGAGAGTGGGGTTGGTGTCTTCTCACTGGTGACAGGTGACAGGATGAGGGGAAATGGACTCAAGTTGTGCCAGGGGAGGTTTAGGTTGGATATCTGGAAAAAGTTCTTTACAGAAAGGGTTGTTAAGCACTGGAATGGGCTCCCCAGGGAGGTGGTTGAGTCACCATCCCTGGATGTGTTGAAAAACCACTTGGATGGGTTTAGTGGTTGGTTATTTGGATTGCATGGTTAGGTCAAGATCTTTTCCAACCTGAGCAATTCTATGAATTCTATATATAACCATGCTTCTGACATAAGTCTCTTTCCAGGAAAAAGTGCAAATGCTGTTGAGCTGTTGGCTGTTTTCTGTTGAGCAAAGATACTACAAGGAAGGCAGTATCTGTATCCACTGTTCAGGAAAATGCAACTGAGGCTGTAAAATGCTAAAATCCAGTTTATCATTCACAGGTGGGAATGATGTACACTGAGGACAAATACTTCAAAAGAAGCAGCCCAGTCCTTAAAGAACAGGCTGATGTTTTTTAGCAACAGTGATATTTATTTGCTATACACCTGGAATTTCTTGGGTGTTCTCAGACAAAGCTCTGCCAGGTTCCCTGCTCAGGCATCTGCATCCCCCTGGGAGCAAAGCATTCTTCATGCACATCAGGCACACAAAGAGATGAAGTCTATTGGCTCCAAGAGGCATAGAAAGAGTTATAAAATTATGCAGAAGAGACAGCTGCACAGCCCTCAACAGGACTCCAGCCTGCAGTTCTGCAGGAGGTATTAGAAGCTGATCTGATGGCTCCCTCTGGCTGTAGGCTCTGTGAGTGAATCTGAAGAAAATGCATTCTGCAGCTTCTCCATTCCTGCAAACATCAAAAGAGCTTGGTAATCGTTTCTTTTCCACATCTGCAAAAATTCTGCTGCACACATTGAAGTTCTGGGTCAATGCAGAAACAAGGAGTTGGTACTGATCTGGTTATCACCCAGATTCTTAGGAAACAGAGGAGCTGGTGAATCCTCATTTCAAGCCAGTCTAAGCAATAGCTTTGGGAATACATTTGGGTTGTGAAAAGGCAGAGGGGCTCAGCTCTTTCCTTTTGTGTTCTAGATGGGGTGGGGGAGACGCTGATTATTACCCCTTTCCAACAGTCGTTACACCAGAGCTGGACACTGCATCCAGATTTAAGCTCCTTGGTACTCTCCTGAGTAATCAGGAGAGAGTTCTGCAGGGACCGCTGAGACACTGGGGCTGGAATTAATGCCATGTGAGGAGAGACTGGAGGAGTCGGGCTTGTTCTGCTTTGAAAAGGGATAGTTCTGGAGGACGTAAGAGGATCCCCTAACAGCTGTGAGGAGATTATTAAGAAGATGGAGTCAGGCTTTTAATGGAGATGCACAGCAGGAGGAACAGGTTAACTCTGAGGGTTTCCCCATGTCTCCCACTGGGAGAGGAGTCCAGAGATGTTGTGGGATTTCTGACCTCGGAGGTTTTCAAGACCCAGGTGTGCAAAATGCTGAGCAGCCTGGTTTGATGCCATCACTGCCACTGCTTTGTGAAGGTTGGACTAGAGACCTCCTGAGGTCCTCTCCAGCCTGAATGGCTTTGTGAATCTATTAAAGAAGTGGAAATCATAGAATCGCAGAATCACAAAGTTGGAAAGGACCTACAAGATCATCTAGTCCAACCGTTCACCCATTACCATTACTACCACAAGCTACTAAACCATATCTTGTAGCTCCTCATCCAGACACCTCATGAACACTGCCAGAGACAGTGACTCCACCACCTCCCTGGGCAAAGAATAAGAAACAAGAGAAGTCAGTAGCTGTAAATGGGTTCAACACAAAGGACCCTGAAAGATGAATGAGGAAAAGCTGGAGAAAATGACTGCTGGGGTGCCTGCTCTGCCCCCAGTACTTGGTCTGAGTCAGGGGGAAAGCTAATTGTAGCAAGGGCCTACCAGAGCACAGGGCTCTGGGACTGGTAAAGATAAGAGGGATGCACAGCCTAGGATGTCAGAAACACTCAGATGAATCTCAGCATTTCCTTCTAGATTTGGTCTAATCCCATTTTCTTCTGCCAATTCCAAAGGAAACAGGAAATTAACAGAGCTGTTGGGAAAAACATCTGTAAATGCTTTGGGCTGGCACAGACATGAGCCTTGGGAAAGGCTGTGAGGAAGGTGCTGCTGCCAGGTCTGGATGTGCTCACAAAGCATGCATGGGAAGGCCACCAAGCACCTCAGCCACCTTATGGAGAAACCCCCTCATCTGCAGCCAATACTGCCTCATTCCACAGCCCTCAGGAGCAGTTCCTGGTCCTTCTCACCCCTGTGCATTTTGCTCAGCTCTGGCTGGTCTGGCTTGGAAGCATGTGAAAGAGCGTGTATGCAATTTTTCAGTGCACACAGTGACATTCTGACAGTTGTCACTGCAGCCAGAGTTTTACTCCAGGAGGACATAGCCACTCGAGGGCTTCTGTGATAATAAATCAGGAGGTGCCAGTGTGAGGGAATTTTTCTGAAACAAAACAAGGACACTGGTTTTGTGGTGGAGGTGCCAAGAGACTGGCAGCTGCATCTCTGGAACACCAGAAAGGAAAGGAACAATCTGTATGGTCACTGCAGTTTCCCTCTGCTCAACAACCACTGCCACTACATCACAAAGTTGAGAAATCAAGTGTATGCTCTCCCTTTGCTCCTTTTATCTTCTCTTGCACCTCATCCGTGGGCAGTTATTCACCCCAAAAGTTTCTCTGTCTCATCATGTTTCTGAGATTTTCTGGGATGCTTTTGCCCTCCTATGCAGAAACATTCATCCTCTCGTCATGTTTGCATATGAGGACATTGTGGGTGCTACAGGTCCCTTGGCTCTCCTGATCTGTATAGGGTTCCCAGTGATCCTCTGGCAATTCTTCTGGCTGAAAAGTCCCTGCTTTAACGACACCTGCATTTCAATAATTTGTTTATTTTCCCAAGCACCAGCAGAAGAAAATTGAAAGTATTTTTCCTATTTTTCTCCTCACTTGTGCTCTTCATTGAAAGTAATCAAAGAATTTGTCTCAACATCTCTCCTCTGCAGGTCTCATCAGTGTTCCTGGTTTAACTGACTTTGGGTTTTGGGGTCAACATGTCCTGTTTGCATTATCAACGCAAGCCTGAGGTTGTCGTGGTTGGGAGGCCACACTGTGCTGGGAAAGGGATGGATGGGATTTACTGTAGCCAAGGTGCTCAGATTGGACAGCCAGCAGGCTTGCACCCAGGCCTTTCAAACCACTGCTTTCAGGGCTGTTGCTGACCTTGCTCACCCTATGTCCTGCCAAAAGCCAGCTGTGCTTAGCTGAGCTTTGTGCTTTCCTGCAGTATGAGCGTTGCACTCAGCCTTCAAAACCATGTGCTGGCAGGGAAGGTGCTGGCACAGCTGCAGTAATGCCAAATGTCTGCAGCCGTATAAGCCTGCTGGTAAATCCCCCTGCTTGTGCTATGCTGATAGTGGGGTGGGTGAGGGGGCTTGTGGCAGGGAAGGGAAGGAGAGGACAGATCGTTGTGTGCAGTGTGCCTGGAGCTGAAGCAAGTTTGGTCAGGTCTTTTTGCTGCACAATACATGGGCTGTGTTCTCTGCTCATTCCCCAATGTTGACACATCTGGCAGGAGCCACCCTGTGTTCCCAAGTCTCATGAGCACCAGGGCAGTTGCAGCTTCCTGCCATCCTCTTGCAGGCAAACCATCCTGGAAAATGTCTTCCTTGCCCCAGCAGCAGCCATACTATCAGAAGCCTTCCCACCATGCTTGGGAGAAGATCACATTTCAGCCACAATCCCCTCATAGAGGAGCATCTGTCTTCTCTCTCAGCTCCTCCTCACAGCCACCCATTAAGTGGGGACTTGATGCTGAATTTCTGGGAACGGTCACGTTTGTCAACTGTCCATCACACGCTGCAGTCAACCAGGGCCCCCTTCTGTCCTAGTGCAACCAGCTGCAAGCTGCTTCCTTAATATGGGAACAAACATGGGGCTGCAAATGGGCTGGGGGTTCAAAGCGATCCCTCAAGAGGGAGGATGACCTGTTTACTTTGACAGGGCTTGCTTAGTGGGTGGCTGTGGAAACCTCAGCGCACGGCTTTACGAATGTGTTGTGGCTTATCTGTCATGTTGGCCTGGAGTCTCCTGGCTGTGCGAGATTGAAGACTGTAAAATCTGGAGTCAGTCTGCTTGTGCACAGTTCTGCTCAACAACTATTGCTTGCAGCTGAGGACATGAGGGTCTAGTGGGAATGATTTTGAGCTTGCTTCTCCTTGGGCTGGCCACGCAGCCTGACTCTGCAAGCCTTCTGTGGGGACAAGGGACAATGGGATCCAGCCTCTGTGCTGGGATGCATCATGGACCTTTTGTCACCCTTGCTGCCCCTACGAACTTCCCCCTCGAGGGTCCTGTGTCCAGTGGTCCTGAGTTTTGCAGTGTCACTAAGCCAGTGACTGGAAATGGCTGGGATGTGCTAGAACTGAGCTTTCCTGGGAATTCCCTGCATGGATGCCATAGATTTGTTAGTCCTTGTGCTGTTGTGCAGGACTGCTGTCTGTAAAAGCTGTTTGCAGAAGTAGTCTGGAGCTGTTTGCAAACCTTCCAGGCTGGGTCTTTGCCTTAATCTT